CTTGACATTTTTATCCTGTTTTCTGCCAGGGACCTCCCCATGGTCCCCACTGGTGTCACACGCATAAGCCAGGCAGAGCTTGGGTGGGCAGGAGTGCTGGGAGCCCTGCAGAGGGACTCACAGACCTCTTGCTCCAGGTCATCGACGACGAGGGCAACATCCTGCCGCCCAACACTGAGGGCAACCTTGGCATCAGGATCAAGCCCACCAAGCCCATCGGCCTGTTCATGTTGTATGAGGTGAGGGCGCCTCCATCCCCTACCACTCCCTGTCCCGGGCACCCCTGCAGCGAGAAGGAAGGGGACTCAACTCTGCATCCTGAGACTCCTCCCATCTCCGTTATGTGCTCCAGTTCAGTGAAGCCAGGTCTAGTTCCCCCAAAGCTCATAGCCTTTCCTCTCCTAACCCATGTGGCACTGATGGGGTAGGGAACCCTGGCTTCATAATCATCAAACCTGGGGGCTGATGATTAAGAATGCAGGCCTCAGCTGGGTTTACATCCTACCATCCAGTTTACCAACAGGGTGGGAATAAACCTAGTCACTATCCTGAGCCTCCTGAGGCCTCCCCTCCCCCACTTTTCAGATACACCGCCTGCAGACTATAGGAGTCATGTGTTTCCCCATGACAAATAAACGGCAGATCTAAGATTCAAAACCGTCTTTCAGCCCCAAAGCCTAATGGGAAATCCAGGAATTACAGAACCTGTGATGGGCTCTAAGGAAACTGCCCAGATAACCCCTAGCCCTCCCAGAGTAGGAGAGGCCACTGAGAGGAAATTCTCAGCTTCCAAGATGGGCCCTGGAAGGGTGGGCACACCTGACATTGATCTCAGATTCCACCTCCTTTCTCCCAAAGAACAGCCATCAGAGGTTCTCTCTCTTGGTGTCACTGTTGTCATCACTCTGGCCTCCAGGGGGCATTGCTCCTCATACTACCAACCAACAGTAAAAAATGCTGGTTAAACCATTCATCAATTTTCTTTATCTTTTCAAAGAACCAGCTTTTGGTTTCATTGATTTTTGTATACTTTTTTTTTAGTCGCTGTCATTTATTTCTGCGCTAATCTTTGTTATTTCCCTCCTACTTACTCTGGGCTTTTCTTGTTGTTCTCTTTCTAGTTTTTTAAGTTGAAGGGTTGAGTAGTTTATTGTTATTTTTTTTGTTTTTTGAGGTATGCCTGTAGTGCTAGGAACTTCCCTCTCAGAAGTGCTTTTGCTGTGTCCCAGAGATTTTGGGTTATTATGTATTCATTTTCATTTGTTTCCAGTAAGTTTTTAAAATTTATTTCTTGACTAGAGGCGCAGTGCACAGAATTCATGCACGGAGGGGTCCCCCTCAGCCCAGCCTGCACCCTCTCCAATCCTGGGCCCCTCAAGGGATGTCCAACTGCAGGTTTAGGCCCAATTCTGCTGTCAGACATTCCTCTCACAATCCTGGACTGCTGACTCCTAATCGCTCACATGCCTGCCTGCCTGGTCATCCCTAACTGCCCTCTCCTGCCAGCCGCATCACTCCTCACTGCCTCTTTGTGCCAGCCTGATCACCCCTAACTGCCCCCCGCAGCTGGCTGGGTCACCCCCAACTGCCCTCTCCTGCCAACCTGGGTCCCCCCCAACTGACCTCCCCTGCATGCCATCTTGTGGCAACCATCTTATCCCCCTCTCACAATCTGGGACTGCTGGCCCCTAACTGCTCACCTGCCTGCCTGCCTGATGCCCCTAACTGCCACCCCTGCCAGCCTGATCCCCCCTAACTGCCTCTGCCTGCCAGCCTGCCTGCCAGGCAGTCGCATCTGGTCACCCCCAAGCACCCCCTGCTAGCCTGGTTGCCCCCAATTGCCCCCTCTGCTGGCCTGGTCGCCTCATGAGCCTGCTGTTGAGTAGTTTGGTCTTCCCTCATTAATCCCCCTGCCAGTCTGGTCGCCCCACGCACACTGCTTTTTCAGTCATTTGGTTGTCCCTCACTAACCCCTCTGCCAGCCTGGTCATAGGCAGCCATCTTGTGAGGGTGTGAGGGTTAATTTACATATTACCTCTTTATCATATAGGTATTTGTTGGTAACCCATTCTTTGTTTAATAACATGATATTTAGCCTTCTCGTGTTTGAATGTTTTGGGGTGTTTCTACTGTAGTTGATTTCTAATTTCATTCCACTGTGATCTGAGAAGTTGCTTGATATGATTTCTATCTTCTTGAACTTGTAGAGACTTGTTTTGTGTCCTAACATGTGGTCTATCTTTGTGAATGATCCATGTGCACTTGAGTAGAATATATATTCTGCAGCTTTGGGGTGAAATGTTCTATAAATGCCAATTAAATCCATCTGGTCCAGTGTGTCCTTTAGAGTCGCTGTTTCCTTGTCATGTTTTTGTCTGGAAGATCCATCCAGTGAAGTCAGCAGGGTGTTAAAGTCCCCTGCTATGACTGCATTGTTGTCAATCTCTCCGTTAAAGTCCTCTAGCAGTTTTTGCAATATATTTAGGTGCTCCTGTATTGGGTGTGTATATGTTAACCAGGGTTCTATCCGCTTGGTGGATCCATCCCTTTATTATTATGCAGTGATCTTTGTTGTCTTTTGTGAGGACCTTCATTTTGAATTCTATTTGGTCGGATATGAGTATTGCTACTCCACGTTTTTTGTTTTTTTTTTACCCTTTCCATTTTCATGGAAAACTTTTTTTCCATTCCTTCACTCTCATCATGTGTATGTCTTTTGTTCTGAGGTGGGAATCTTATAGACAGTATATAGTTGGCTCATATTTTTGTATCCATTCAGTTATCCTATCCCTTTTGATTGGACCATTTAATCCATTTACATTTAAGGTTATTGATAGGTACTTATTTATTGCCATCTTAATTCTGTATGTGTAGGTTTCTCTCTGTTTCTCCTTCTCATTACAGCAGTGCCTGTAGCATTTTTTATAGTGCTGGCTTGGTGGTGATGTACTCCTTTGGCCTTTTTTTTTTCTTGTCCAGGAAGTTCTTTATTTGACCGTCTTTTTTGAATGATAGCCTTGCTGGGTATAGTGATCTTGGTCTCAGATCCTTGCTTCCCATTACCTTGAGTACTTCATGCTATTCCCTTCTGGCCTATAGAGATTTTGGTGAGAAGTCAGGTGTCAGCTTTATGGGAACTCTTTTGTAGGTAACATTTTGCTTTTCTCTTGCTGCCTTTAATATTCTCTCTTGATTTTTAATTTTTGGCATTTTAATTATGATGTGTTGGGCATGGACCTGTTTCGGTTCTTCTTGCTTGGGGTTCTCTGTGCCTCCTGAACTTGTGTGACTTTTTTCTCCACCAGGTTAGATATGTTTTCTGCCATTATTTCATCAAACATAGACCAGCTGGTTCCTCCATGCTCCCTACTAGGGACTAAGCCCACAACCTGGTCATGTGCACTGACCAGGAAGTGAACTGGCAACCTTTTGGCACATGGGATGATGCTCAGCCAATGAGCCACATTTGCCAGGGCCATAAGCTTTCTTTGAGGATGAGATGAGATAGCACTTAGGGAAGAAAATTCATTTAGCAAATGTTTATTGACACCTTTCATCTATTCAGCTACTGTGTTATATTAATATCAATTGCCAGTGTATTTTATACATTAATTGACCAGAAGCATGCATTGAGTGTTTGCATGTAAAGTAAATAGACTCAGAGAGATTACAAAAGTTGCACAGGTGCCTGGTGACATGAGAAGCAGGATTCAAATGCAGATATGAGCCCCAGGTTGCAGCTCAACATCTCTAAGTTCACTGCCTTCAATAAGAGCGCCATTCTCTTTGCAGAATGACCCAGTGAAGACAGCCAAAGTGGAGTGTGGGGACTTTTACAACACTGGGGACAAAGCAACTATTGACAAAGAGGGCTACATCTGGTTCCTGGGGAGGGACGATGACATCATCAACGCCTCTGGGTAGGTGTGGCTGACCTGGGGCCTGGCAGGCTCTAGCTTGCTTCACCATTCCTCCATGCACTGGGGATGGGACCCTCAGCCTATTCCTGATGCAGCCATGTCTACGGGGCCCTGGCCGGGGTATCTGTGCATCTCCCCCAACATCAAAATAAAGTTCAAGAAGGCCTGGAAGTGCAACCACAGTAGACATTGTGCAATTTAAAAAGGGGATATAGGATTGGGAAGGGAGGCCTTATTTGAGCCTCTTTTTGTCCCCATTGGTTGGGGGAAATTATTCTCTGTGTTCCTCTAATTAATGGGACACATGAACAACAACAACAACAATAGCAGCTAAGCTTATGGAGTACTCACTGTGTGCAAGTACACTCCTCTGTGCTGTTTAACCCAGTACATGCCATTATTGTGCCTATTTTATAGATTAGGACACTGAGTCACTGATAAGTGAACTAAGTTGCTGAAAGTTTCCATGGTAGTGCAGGGTGAAGCCCAGATTTGAACTGAGGTAGTGTGGCTCCCAATCTGTTGTCCCTCGTGCCTAGGTGATATGTGAAGGAAAAGTGACACAAGTAACAACTTCCTTTGGATGCATCAGGAAAATTAAGTTGGTTTTACTTTTTAAATTTCTAAATGAGATGCTGATGTAGTGAGACAGAATTTACCCAGACGTTTAAGACCCAGTCTGAGGCTCCCAAGAGTACCGTAAGCGTCCTGCTGGGAAGCTCCTTGTGCCACGCCCACAGCCCCAGGAGGACAGCCTTCCACCGCCACCCGCCCACCAGAGGCAGTGAGGGGAGACCTGGGAGCATCTGAGCCTGGAATGCCCAGGTCTCCACATCCTGGTTCCACTGCAGAGCCTTTCCACAGGCCTCTGGCTCTCGTGAAGGTTGCCCTCTGTGCCCAGGGAAGCTGTGACTCCCAAACATGGGATTGGAGGGCCTGTGTCACTTCAGCCCTGGCATCTGCTCAAACCCAGGAACTCTTGGTCCCACAGGTACCGCATTGGGCCGGCAGAGGTGGAGAACGCCCTGGCTGAGCATCCGGCGGTGGCTGAGTCAGCTGTGGTGAGCAGCCCGGACCCGATCCGAGGGCAGGTGAGGAGCAGGACAGGAGGTCATGGGGTCTGCGTGTGGGCCCTGGAAGGCTGGTGCAGGGGAACCTTCCAGAGCAGTTGGTATGCGCAGCACCCTTACACCCTGTGGGCAGCAGGAGGCACTGTGGCGTATTCCATGACATCCTGACTAGCTATAGGGTACGCTGGCTCATTTAACTGTCACAACAACCTATTGAGTTAGAGACTCTAACTTATTACACCCATTTAATAGACAAAGGGACACGATAAGGAAATTAAATAACTTGCCCAGATTGCACTGTGCTGGAGCCAGGATGAAAATCTGAGGACTCTGTTTCCAATGCATTCAATGGATTTATTGAGCACCTACTATGTACAAGGCCTGTGCAATTAAATGGGGACATAAATAACAATATAAAAGCAATAAGTTTAGCCCAGCCCGTGTGGGTCAGTGGTTGAGTGTCGACCCAGGAACCAGATGTGATTCCTGTCAGGACACATGCTCTGTTGCAGGCTAGATCCCCAGTAGGGGGCCTGCCGGAGGAAGCAGGGTGATGATTCTCTCTCATCATTGATGTTTCTATCTCTCTCCCTCCTTTCCTCTCTGAAATCAATAAAAACGTATTTTTTTAAAAAAAGAATCAACTACTTAAAAAATAAAAACAATAAGACCAATAAGTTACCAATAATTAAATGCCCACAAGGTTTCAGGCACAGAACTGTACATACATTAGTGGTAAAAATGATGATGAAAACAATGATGCTGGGGTAATGATAAAGTTACACTGGGTGCATGTTTTCTGTGTAACATCTCATGGAATCTGAACATAAGGCCGCCATGCTCAGCTCCATGGGATGAGCCTGTACTCTGTGCAGGTCACAGAGAAGGGATTTAAGGTTAAGTAATTTTGCAGGGGAAAGAGGAGAAATTGGAAGCATTTGGGTTTGAACCTCCCTTGTCCTTTTCCAAAGGCTCAGGTGTCAGCTTGCATTGCCATTCACTGCATTAACACTTACTTTTAAACCAGGCAACTGGGTGGCACTCACCCTGAGGCCCGGCTCTGGTTCTGCGTTGCAGGTGGTGAAGGCCTTCATTGTCCTGACCCCAGAGTTTCTGTCCCATGACCCGGACCAGCTCGCCAAGGAGCTGCAGGAGCACGTGAAGGCAGTGACAGCCCCGTACAAGTACCCAAGGAAGGTGAGTGGGGCCGATGCTCGAGCCCTTCCTTGCTCTGCTGCCCCGAGTCTGGTCGGGTGGCTGGGAGATGTTGTAACCGAACATAGATAGAGCATTTTTCTCTGCAGAAGAAGCAATTCAGCTTAGGGGTGGATGCAGCCAACTGAATGGGATGGAATCTCTATTCCAAAACATCCTGCACATTCCCCTGAGGGCATAAAAATCAGACCAGTGCCCAAGCTATCCAAGGAAGCTATTTAACATCCTTCAAAATTTGAAAAAAGACATCCAAATCAGTAGCTTTCTCACTATTTCTAAGCATAATTCATATTGAGAAATACATTTGATACTATACTGCCACTCAATACTTATGTACACAACAAATGAGTGTTAACAAAATTATATTTATCCTTAGAACATGCAGTCCATTCTTTTTTTAGATACAAAGTAATTAGTCATTTACATGCAATAAACATTAATATTTCAAAAAAACTATTTTAAGTATAATAATGTTACAGGCAATAAACAATATTTCAAGAAAATAGATTTCAGCCGAAACCGGTTTGGTTCGGTAGATAGAGCGTCGGCCTGCGGACTGGAAGGTCCCAGGTTCGATTCTGGTCAAGGGCATGTACCTTGGTTGCGGGCATATCCCCAGTAGGAGATGTGCAGGAGGCAGGTGATCGATGTTTCTCTCTCATCGATGTTTCTAACACTCTATGTCTCTCCCTTCCTCTCTGTAAAAAATCAATAAAATATATTTTAAAAAAAAGAAAAGAAAAGAAAATAGATTTCAAATATAGTAATAATCCATGCAATAAACATTAATAATTCAAGAGAAAAAAGATTTTATATATAACAGTATTACCAAAACTGTACTAACATTGTATAATATCACAAAAGTTGTAGGAAATATTAAAAATCTGCAAATAACAGGATTACTTCTATTATCTTCTAAAATATTTTTTTCCGCTGTCTCTATTTTTGTTTATCAGTTTATGTTGTTCATTATATTCCACAAATGAGTGAGATCATGTGATATTTCTCTTTCTCCTACTGGCTTGTTTCACTTAGCATAATAATCTCCAGGTCAATCCATGCAAATGATAAGAGTTTCTTTCTTTCTTTCTTTTTTTTTTTTTTACAGCAGCATAGTATTCCACCATTTTTTAATCCACTCATCTGCTGATGGGCACTTAGGCTGTTTCCAAATCTTAGCTATTGTAAATTGCTATGAACATAGGGGTGCATATATCCTTTCTGATTGGTGTTTCTGATTTCTTGGGATATATTCCTAGAAGTGGGATCACTGGGTCAAATGGGAGTTCCATTTTTAATTTTTTGAGGAAACTCCATTCTGTTCTCCACAGTGGCTCCACCAGTCTGCATTCCCATCAGCAGTTCCTTTTTCTCTGCAATAAACATTAGTAATTCCCCAGCATTTGTTGTTTGTTGATTTGTTGATGATAGCCATTCTGACAGGTGTGAGATGGTGCCTCCTTGTCATTTTGATTTTCATCTCTTGGATAATTAGTGACTTTGAGCACGTTTTCATATGTCTCTTGGCCTTCTGTATGTCCTCTTTTGAAATTGTCAATTTAGGTCCTTTGCCCACTTTTTGATTGGATTGTTTATCTTCCTTTTGTTAAGTTGTATGAGTTCCCTGTGAATGTAGGAGACTAAACCCTTATTGGATATACCATTGGCAACTGTGTTTTCCCATGCAGTGGGCTCTCTTTTTGTTTGGTTAATGGTTTCTTTTGCTGTGCAAAGCTTTTTATTTTGATGTAGTCCCATTTGTTTATTTTCTCCTAAGTTTCCCTTGCCCTAGGACCTGCATCAGTAAATATATTGCTACAACATAAGTCTGATTTTTAAAAAAAATATATTTTATTAATTTTTTACAGAGAGGAAGGGAGAGGGAGAGAGCGGTAGAAACATCGATGAGAGAGAAACATCGATCTGCTGCCTCTTGCACACTACCTAC